GGACGCGCCGATAACCAACAGGTTAATCCGGACCGAGGTGCTTCAAATGCAGGGATATTTTTAGGACGGTGCCCTTTGGGGAAACGCAGGGAGTGTGCTAATAGTGCAAAGTATGTGTTGATATTTGGAGTAACAACAATGCAGAAATTAAAGGGAATTAAGAAAGACATCAAAAGTCCCGTGCGCGCTGTTAACTCCTGCGCCTCCCTCCCCGCGCCGCAGCGGTTCCGGACCGAGGTGCTTCAAATGCAGGGATATTTTTAGGACGGTGCCCTTTGGGGAAACGCAGGGAGTGTGCTAATAGTGCAAAGTATGTGTTGATATTTGGAGTAACAACAATGCAGAAATTAAAGGGAATTAAGAAAGACATCAAAAGTCCCGTGCGCGCTGTTAACTCCTGCGCCTCCCTCCCCGCGCCGCAGCGGTGCGAGCTCCAAACACTCCTTCCTTTGGAAGACGTTTAGTATGGCTGGATTTCTGAGCTCTTCCTCACCGACCCGGCAGGCAGGTAAAGAGCTGCACAAAGGATTATTGTGCTCCGCTTATAAATAATATTTGTTTAGGCAGCCCCCAGAAAGGCCGAAGTATTTGAACATTCCCATTTCTGCCAGTGCCAGGGATGTGCTACTGTTGTTTGCAGAGCAGGCACTATGTCCCGGGACTAAACGGTGAGGTTCTCCTGTTAAACAATTCTTAAAAGTTTGTTTGGCTTGCAAGTGTCCTGTGTGATTTGAAGATGTTGAAAGAAAAACATGACTTCAGCTTTTCTTGTGAGGTTGGAATATTATTCTCTGCTTCCAAAATAAATGGAAAATCATATTTTGTTGCTGCATAGGGAGGGTGCATTCCGAGCAGCCTTGTGCGTGTGGATGCTCTAGGCTCAGCGCGTGTTATTCCGAGCGAGCCTGCTGGGCATGGGGGCTCGGGCAGCCACGGGCAAGGTCCTTTTGGGATGGATGTGTTTTGGGAGCGCTGAGGGCAGAAGCCCTGGCCGGCAGGAAAGGCACCCCAGGGAGATGCAGTGAGGCTCCCTCTCCCAGGCCCCGCAGGATTGTCCTGCTAAGGAATGGGCTATTGAGGGCTGGGGAACCTGCAGCGGCTTCTTTATGGTTTGAATAACATTTCAGTTAGATTGTCTAAACAGTCCATATGCTGGTTAATTCTGCAGGTTCGTGTGTAGCAAGCACTGCTGCCTTGCGTATCAGCCAACTGAAACCTCTTCTATATGGTGCTGCTATTAACTTGAACTCCAAAGAGGTCAAATTAGTTTACAAAGCAGATTGTTTATTTTTCCGACAGTGAATCTCTTTTTCACTTTCAGAAACTCCTTGTGAATCCCCTTGCAAGCTGTTCAAATCAAAACCAGTCCTTCCAATGCTGTAAATTTGGGGAAAGTGTATTTGGGGAAGATAATACTTTTGTAATGATGTCTGAACAGTAAAGAGCCTACACATTTCTTAATTTAGAATCTTATGTTGGTTATTAAAAATAAATAAATTCTACTTTAGGTAATTATTCTCCCACTTTGAGTATTTCCTTTATTATTATAAAATAATTCATCTTCAAAAAAGCCAGAAAAAACGTAAGCAGAATGGTGCTTGCAGCAAACACAGCACTATCATCTCGGACAATGATACATCAGGCTGTGCTCCATGTGCAAGGTTAGGATAGTAAAGATGCACAAGAGTGAGGATGGAGAGCCATTCCCGGCTTGTGCCTTCTGATTTCAAGGCGACGAAAGGGTTAACAGTAGGAAAATTAATTACACGCAATGGCAGAACAATAGTCTCAGGAGATGGGGGGTGAATTCAATAGTGGTGGAAGCCCATTAGATTCAATGAGGAAGATTCCCACTGACTGCAGCATGGCCAGCGTTTCACCCCAAGTCTCTATTGCCACTTTGTGGGGCTAACGCAGCAGGAAATATCCACGGTTAATTTTATGTTACATGTTACAACTGTCACTTGTATTTCCTTACTTACGTCCAAAAGAGCTGTTCTGCAAAAATACTGAAGTAGTTTTTTTCATGAAAGAGAACTTTATCAGTTCAGCTTGCCTCACACCTGCATATCTCTGCTGGGGAGCAAGATAAGGGCTTTCTAGGATGCAGTTTCTATGTTTCAGCTTTCAAGAATGGGAATGAGGTCCCTTTTCCAAGTATGAAACGATCTAAAGCTAAAGCTGTTTCTGTTGAATGAAGGGGTCTGATGCAGAGATTTTTTGGTTGGGGCAGTTTCAGGATTCTATGTGCTGGCTGAAATTAAGTCAGAGAACTTAAGTATCTTACAGCTCCTAGTTTGAGTTTTGTCTTTTTCTTTCCAACAGCTCCCCATTCTCTACTTTGGAGGCTCCTTCTTTCACTTTTGTTGCTAAAGATGAGAAGAAAGTGGAGATTGGAGAACTTTCACTTTATCTTTTTCACTGTGCTCTGTCTCCTTTTCCTAGACGGAGGTAAACTAGAACAAGTAAAACGTAAGTAACTTTCAAATCCCACTGCCACATTCACTCGCGTTTGGAGTTTTCCTTCTATTTGACAAATGCATTTTGGAAATGATCTTCAAACAAAGATGTTCCGAGCACTGGGGCGCATGGGCTTGCACTCGGAGCCCGCTCGCAGCCTTCCTCCTGCTAATCTTTCATTTAGGAGGAGCAGGTCGCACCCACAACCGGGCTGCGTTTCCCTGAAGCCGAGCGGGCTTCATTGCGACCCAGGGAACATAACACATCAGCTGAAGAATCTGTTTAATTTCAAATGCTCCAAATCAGGAGAGTACTTAAAGCCATTTTAGTGACCTCTATAAACATCTGACGGATTATCTGGATTTTGTCCCATGTGTAAGACTATTGTGCTGAGGTTTTCAGCTAGTGTAAAGTTCTTCCAAGACTGCTCTGTGGTGTTCCAAAAACAACCTCATATGAACTGGATTAGATATATCCTTTGAGAAAATTAAAGGTCTAAGCGCTGTCAAAAACTTGATGACATGCATTGAAAAGAACACAAACAAAGCAAAGAGAATATTTCTACAGAGCCTGTCATCCATGGGAGATGTTAACACATTTCAGAAAGCCTGGCAAGGAGGGATAACTGCCCACAAAAGTCTGTAGGAGTTCCTGCCTGCTGCAGCCTTGTTAGCGGCTCTCTGGAAGGCTTTCCCCACCTGTGCACGTGGGTCTTGGCTTTCCTCTTGCAGAGCATGTTGCCTGCACTTGAGAAGTAGTTAAAAACTTCAGCTCAGTGTCAGCAGCTTCTGCTTGTAAGTAGGTAGATGAAAAAGGGGGAAAAATAAAAAAGAGGAAAAAGGAGGGGGAAAGGGTTTAGAGACGGCCTTCTTGCTCACAAGCAAACACTGTGTGGGTCTCCCTGCTCAGAGAAAGTGGAGAGAGGAATCACCAGCCTGCACTTCAGCCAGCTGTTTCTCCACACCCTGCATTTCACTTGTCAGACTGTTGTACATAGTCAAAGCAGAGCACTTCGCAGTTGCTACTTAGCAATCTCTACCTCTTGCTACCTCCTTTTAGCTCAGGGAATGTTAAACAAGCTCCTTCCCTGGACTGTCTCTTGGAAGACATGCAGTTTGCTATTCTAAAATACCATTTATACTGAGGATGGTGAATCAAGCTGAGCTTTGACATCATTAAGATAACAGCAAGTACTTCTCTCATGGACATTTTGCCCTAATAAAACCCTTTCTACTGAAGAGATTTGAGGTCTTAATGTGACATTATAATGTGACAGTGAGAGGCAGTAACATCTGGAAGGTAGACAGACTCCTGCAAAAGTACACCTGGAAGATTAGAAGTGCTTGGTTATTAAAAATAAATAAATTCTACTTTAGGTAATTATTCTCCCACTTTGAGTATTTCTTTTATTATTATAAAATAATTCATCTTCAAAAAAGCCAGAAAAAACGTAAGCAGAATGGTGCTTGCAGCAAACACAGCACTATCATCTCGGACAATGATACATCAGGCTGTGCTCCATGTGCAAGGTTAGGATAGTAAAGATGCACAAGAGTGAGGATGGAGAGCCATTCCCGGCTTGTGCCTTCTGATTTCAAGGCGACGAAAGGGTTAACAGTAGGAAAATTAATTACACGCAATGGCAGAACAATAGTCTCAGGAGATGGGGGGTGAATTCAATAGTGGTGGAAGCCCATTAGATTCAATGAGGAAGATTCCCACTGACTGCAGCATGGCCAGCGTTTCACCCCAAGTCTCTATTGCCACTTTGTGGGGCTAACGCAGCAGGAAATATCCACGGTTAATTTTATGTTACATGTTACAACTGTCACTTGTATTTCCTTACTTACGTCCAAAAGAGCTGTTCTGCAAAAATACTGAAGTAGTTTTTTTCATGAAAGAGAACTTTATCAGTTCAGCTTGCCTCACACCTGCATATCTCTGCTGGGGAGCAAGATAAGGGCTTTCTAGGATGCAGTTTCTATGTTTCAGCTTTCAAGAATGGGAATGAGGTCCCTTTTCCAAGTATGAAACGATCTAAAGCTAAAGCTGTTTCTGTTGAATGAAGGGGTCTGATGCAGAGATTTTTTGGTTGGGGCAGTTTCAGGATTCTATGTGCTGGCTGAAATTAAGTCAGAGAACTTAAGTATCTTACAGCTCCTAGTTTGAGTTTTGTCTTTTTCTTTCCAACAGCTCCCCATTCTCTACTTTGGAGGCTCCTTCTTTCACTTTTGTTGCTAAAGATGAGAAGAAAGTGGAGATTGGAGAACTTTCACTTTATCTTTTTCACTGTGCTCTGTCTCCTTTTCCTAGACGGAGGTAAACTAGAACAAGTAAAACGTAAGTAACTTTCAAATCCCACTGCCACATTCACTCGCATTTGGAGTTTTCCTTCTATTTGACAAATGCATTTTGGAAATGATCTTCAAACAAAGATGTTCCGAGCACTGGGGCACATGGGCTTGCACTCGGAGCCCGCTCGCAGCCTTCCTCCTGCTAATCTTTCATTTAGGAGGAGCAGGTCGCACCCACAACCGGGCTGCGTTTCCCTGAAGCCGAGCGGGCTTCATTGCGACCCAGGGAACATAACACATCAGCTGAAGAATCTGTTTAATTTCAAATGCTCCAAATCAGGAGAGTACTTAAAGCCATTTTAGTGACCTCTATAAACATCTGACGGATTATCTGGATTTTGTCCCATGTGTAAGACTATTGTGCTGAGGTTTTCAGCTAGTGTAAAGTTCTTCCAAGACTGCTCTGTGGTGTTCCAAAAACAACCTCATATGAACTGGATTAGATATATCCTTTGAGAAAATTAAAGGTCTAAGCGCTGTCAAAAACTTGATGACATGCATTGAAAAGAACACAAACAAAGCAAAGAGAATATTTCTACAGAGCCTGTCATCCATGGGAGATGTTAACACATTTCAGAAAGCCTGGCAAGGAGGGATAACTGCCCACAAAAGTCTGTAGGAGTTCCTGCCTGCTGCAGCCTTGTTAGCGGCTCTCTGGAAGGCTTTCCCCACCTGTGCACGTGGGTCTTGGCTTTCCTCTTGCAGAGCATGTTGCCTGCACTTGAGAAGTAGTTAAAAACTTCAGCTCAGTGTCAGCAGCTTCTGCTTGTAAGTAGGTAGATGAAAAAGGGGGAAAAATAAAAAAGAGGAAAAAGGAGGGGGAAAGGGTTTAGAGACGGCCTTCTTGCTCACAAGCAAACACTGTGTGGGTCTCCCTGCTCAGAGAAAGTGGAGAGAGGAATCACCAGCCTGCACTTCAGCCAGCTGTTTCTCCACACCCTGTATTTCACTTGTCAGACTGTTGTACATAGTCAAAGCAGAGCACTTTGCAGTTGCTACTTAGCAATCTCTACCTCTTGCTACCTCCTTTTAGCTCAGGGAATGTTAAACAAGCTCCTTCCCTGGACTGTCTCTTGGAAGACATGCAGTTTGCTATTCTAAAATACCATTTATACTGAGGATGGTGAATCAAGCTGAGCTTTGACATCATTAAGATAACAGCAAGTACTTCTCTCATGGACATTTTGCCCTAATAAAACCCTTTCTACTGAAGAGATTTGAGGTCTTAATGTGACATTATAATGTGACAGTGAGAGGCAGTAACATCTGGAAGGTAGACAGACTCCCGCAAAAGTACACCTGGAAGATTAGAAGTGCTTAGTGAAAAGCAAGATCTTAAACAACTGGGAAGCTGATGTATTGGGTTGATGTACCCAACCCAAAGTGTTTTAAAACAACTGAATTGTTAAAATATGGTGATGCTGAATATCAGCGTAAATGCAATGCACCCATCTTCCATTTGTAGTTCTCTCTGCTGTAGTGCTTGGGCTTTTCCTGAGTGGAGGAAGTTGCTTTGGCTTAGCAATGAACAGGTTTTGTTTCCTATGAACCTGTCTGAGTCATTGAAAGCTTTAACTTTGTGACCTAAACAGGATCTGAACCTACATTTTCCCTAAGTGAAAGGCCCAGCTCCCCCTGCTTCAGGAGCTGCAGCTTTGGAGAAGATGAGAGGTCACTTTATTTAGTTTAGTTTGGGAAGTTAGAAATAACAGCATCGAAAACTAAGGGTATCCTAATTATCAAGTGTGATTCTCCAGAGAAAGTAAAAAAGTAATTCTTCACCAAATTTTGCCTATGAGACTCAAACATGGTCTACAGAGAAAGCTGCAGACATAAAACATGGCTGTGGAAAGCATGGCAGGGGATCACTTCTTCACTGCTCTTTCAATTCTTCCCTGTTTTACAGATTCAGATACGTACTGTGTGTTTCAAGATAAGAAGTACCGCGTAGGAGAGAGATGGCACCCTTACCTAGAGCCCTACGGCCTTGTTTACTGCGTTAACTGTCTCTGCTCAGAGGTAGGACTCTCAGCTACTGCTCTTACAACTTCTGCCTCTTGGGGCCTTTACCTTCTATCTACCCCAGGCAGAGCCCAGCCTGGTTTGCTCTGGGGTTCTGGTTTGTGCTGGGTTTCCTGTACGTTGTAGATAATAGAGGCAGGTGATCCAGGGAGAGCAGTAACAGATGAAGCTGAGACTGGCACAAATACTTGCACAGGACGGACATGAAGGCTCCAACAGGCAGAGGAATGGGTACGGTTGTGCAATGTACCAGTTTGGTTGTGTTTTGATCTAAAGACAGTGCCCACAGTCTCCAAAAGGCATTTCCACACCCAGGGCATCTGCTGTCTTACCGTGCTGAAGGAGGAGCAAGGGGTATCGCCATTTACAGAAACCTCGGAGAGAGGAATGAGGCAATGAAAAATGAGACAAGGATGGACACGGGGAGCAGCGGGACTTGGCAAGGACATGAAAGGATGGGCCCTTTTGCTGCCATTAGTTGATGCCTGATGCTAAGACACAGCAGTCACAGACCCCCTAAGCATGTCCTATGCAGCTTGGCGGGGACAGGAAAATGAGGGCAGAATTTGTCCCTTGAAGTACTTTAAAAATGACTAAACAATAAGGGATCTTAATCACTAACATATGAGACACTCCAGATGCTGAATTTTGCCTGCTGTATTTAATGTGAAAGAAAATCTTCTTGGCTATTCTCCCCCTGCAAGTGTAAAATATTGGGCCCCTGTGCAGGATTTTGCTCTGAGGGATCTGCTACTACACTGTTGTGCAGAGATACACAAACAGTAGTCCCACAGCTTGGCTGCATCTCACATCTGTGCACAGAGCATCTGTAGGAGCATAGGAAGAGGAAGAGAAAAGCCTCCCTTTTGAGCTAATAGGAGCTTCCATTCCCTGTTGTTGATCTGTGTGCAAAAGCTGAAAGCTCGCTCAGAAACAGTGTGTGGTAAAACACTCATCAAACTGCTGGAAGGCTGTGCCGTGGGTGGGGATGAAATTGCTGGGAGCCCCAGAGACATGGATACAAGTCATTGCTCAATGGCTTTCAGGAAGATGTTGGAGAGCCCAGCGGGCTGGACAAGCACAAGTAACCTCCCCTGGAGAGCAGCGGTGCCGAGCGGGCCGGCCCGTGCACTGCGAGTGCCCGCGGCGGGACGTAGTTTGTTCCTGTCCTGCTCTCACGCAGGTGAAAGAACAGAGTGGCAGTGGAGGACAGCGAGGGGAACAAAAGTGGAAGCTCTGCTTGTTCCCTGGCTCTGGGCTCCGGTTGTCACTCACCCTGTTTTACCTCTGATGTGCAGTGAGGGGGCACGACACAGCTAGGAGACACTGGGTGAGTGCTGGAGCGGGACTGTCTTGTTGCCTGGGAGGAAGCCCCCAAGGAGCATCCGCAGCATCCAGCTCCAGCCTTTTCTTTGAGCTTTCTGCGGGACAAGAGAAATGCCACTT